CTCTTCCAGCAGCAACCTTAGTTTTCGCCAGGAGGTCTCCGATCCAGGTACTGACCAGGCTCACACCTGTTGAGCATCAGTGGGCTGCCGGCTGTGGATTGCAGCGTGACACGGCTACTGCCGATAAAGCAGATTCCCACCTGGTCTTCGAGAGATACGGTATCTGTGCAGTTATCATTACCCGGGGGCGAGGGGAGGGCAATAAAACAATTATTAAACACAAATTTTTTACCTTTACAATCCACTTGCGTGCAATATGTTTTAAAATGTGTTATAAATGTGCAATAGAGTGATGTGCAATGTTTTTTTTTCTGCATTATATTCAAATGGACAGAAGTGTTGTGTGTCCACAAACAAATTCCCTTAGAAGACAATAAATCTGATCTTATTCTGCCTTATTCTGCCTCTTGTGTCCTGGTATCGCCTGTTGAAAAAGGTGACAGACACAGAGAGCACGTCATACCTCACAGCCTCTGTTTTTCCCAGATACAGTACACACCACAGTGTTGTTCATTCTTTATTTTGTTGCCCTAAATACTGGTCATGGTATTGCATGTTTTGTTGATTTTAGAGAAGGGGGTCACCTGGTTCCGGCCCAGCGATGAAACGCTCAGCCCCTGAGCTGTATCTCCGAGCCCTTTCAGTCCGGGGAGTTCCTTGCTCCTCCAAGCTTAATTATTGATATTATTGCAACTTGCTTTCCTTTTTGCATTTTTAGTATTTTTTAAATGTCTTCGCTTGTTTAAATAATCTAAGTTTTCAACACTGTTTCCACGTAATCACACGCGTTAACGTGAATCTCAGGATAATTTGGAATTGGGTCCTACAATGCAGACTCGCTCCTGAAGACCCATTGCTGACTGAAAAAAAAATGAAGGGGGCACTCGGATTTGAACCGAGGACCTCTTGATCTGCAGTCAAATGCTCTACCACTGAGCTATACCCCCGGACAACGCATGCTGTGCCGACGTGCCTTAAATCAACACTGCTCTGTTTGCCGGCTGCAACCTGGGCAGACACCTATGCCGTTACTATAGCAACCCTGCAGTCTCCTCGAGCCGGCGCGCCGGCTGCTGTGGGTCGGTAAGAAGTGTCGTCACTCCGGCACGACAGGACTCCCCAAACTCTCCAACACCAATTAATCTATTGTGAAGATTTTTTTTTTTCACGCAGAGGTGTATTTACGGGCATCGCGATTGCAATGCATTCAGTCACAACGTTGCTGTCAAGGAGAGGCAACCAGCATGGAAGACTTTGTTGGATTCACCGGTTTGAAGGGAATTGGTCCAGGATCAG